TGAAAGTATTCCTTAGTTAATTATTGATTTTGGCTCACCATTAAAGTCAATAGTAAGTTCACCAAATTAACTCTGCAAGTAGGTGTTTGAAGATTAAACATTTGCTTTGCTAGGATCGGATTGTTCATGCTCAATTACTGATAGCTAATTTATTGTCACTTTGAGTAATTATTTATATATTTTTCCAAAATAAATTTTAATGTATTTATTTAATTTATAATATTTAGCCAACTCTTCTAGTATTATGGAGAATAATCTTATATATTTCAAATCTGGAATCTTGCAGTTTTAGGATTATAATGTTTTTATAGACACATTTTATAGAAATATAGTTTACTAAAATAAGACTGATAATCCTTTACTATAATTTCAAAGTAATTTTATAGAAAATACATGTAATCCTGTAATGGTTACTCTAAGTGATTTAAAGAATGATGCAGGTAGAGGTTTTTTTAATTTAACATGGTCATTGGAGGAAATAACTGGAATTACAAGAGATGAGTAGATCTAAAGCATCAATTAAATAATGAAAACAGCAAGTTAAAATTTGAATAGAACATTAATCATAGACCCTTCAAACTTACCTCCTAATCAAAATATTACTATAAAATTTAGCTTTTTACTAAAAGTAAACAGAACTGGCTAACAGACGTTTAAAATATTTTACAGAAAAGAAAAAATCATCAGGATAAATTATCAGCAATCGATTTATCCACCTATATATAGGTATCGTATTTATTATTAGTATAATTCTAAGGTTATTTTTATAAATTAGGTACAAGAGCTTGAGTTTCTACTTTTAGTTTTACATTGAAGCATGTGAGTTTGGAAATAGTACATATTTTAATGAGCCAACTGATCTTAAAATAGTTTCTCCTTAGCTAACTTAAATAGAGCAAAATATTAAAAACTATAATGAATCTAGTTTTTAATTAGACATACCTCCTTACACATTTTAATCGAATTAAACATTTAATACTAGTGTAATCCATTTTTTATTTTATTTTAATTTAAATTAATAAGAGTTTTCTCCTACTAAATTAAATTTATTTTAGGATATGAATAAATTAATCATTCCAAATTATTCTTATTTTTATTCTAAAATACTTTATTATTGTAGGCCCTTTTTTATTAACACCAAAATTTTTATTTTGGAAAATTTTATTTTCCTAAGATAAATTTTTTTAAATCAAAATTTAAAAAAAAAAACCAAATGTTTAATATTAAATTAAATACAAATATATAAATATATTTTAAATTCCACATCCTTTTTAAGATAGATAATATAAGTAAAAAAATTTTATTTTCGAACAATAATAAAGTTTTTAAATTTTGTACTTTTTGATTTGAGTGATTAAATTTTTTCTTAAAAAATTAAAAATTAATTATTTTAATAAAAATTTAGATAATTTTAAATCTTACATCTGATAACAGGATCAGTTCTATAAAAAATATATCTATTGATGTACTCATTTCGAATTTATATTTGTCTATAGTTGGAGGATCTAATTTTATTGTTAGTTATCAAAAATAATTTGATTTGGTATCAGAATTTAGAGATTATGAAGTTCAAGATCAAACTTCCCTTTTAGGTGTTACTTTTACCTGGTAGTGCAAGAGTTTATCAAGTGAAGATCGCATTTGCTATGACTACAATCATCAAATAGTTTAAATAAATCAAGGGATAAGCTCAATCTCTTTCCCTGAAAGAAACTTCCAGCCCTATAGCATCATAGTTTTAACAATAGAAGGATAAAAAGAAAAAAGGTCAGCTAATTTTACAGCCACTTGTATTTTTACAGAATTAGATATTCCTCCATTAATTGTTTTATAACCCCCACAGCAATAAAATCAGAAAATAAATTTAAATTAAGATCTTAACTTTGTTATTCAATACGGTTCCAATATTTCTTCGGATATTTTATCATATGCTGGAGCTTTGTTGTATAAAAATAAAATAGTTGGAGCCATAAAATTTGATTACTACTAGGTAAAATTTAGAATATGGAGCTATTTTTAAAATATAGATCCTTCCATTCCAACAGTTTAAGTACGTTTTTCAGTTTACAATCCATCTTATGTCATGCCAAGTTTAGCAACAATTACCCTTTTAATTAACATTCCTCCTAAAAATTGCATTCTTTCTATAAGTCCAAACCAAGGAGTAGCACTCTAAACAATTTTTTCTATCAAGTTCTCAAATTGTGTTGATGAAGACTCTCCTTTAACTTACTAGTTCTTTTACTATAATAACCAAGCTGATTACGAACTAGAACTAGATTCCCCTTGGAATATTTCAAGAAGATTAATAAAAGATTAAACAACTAGCTATGTGATGAACACTACTCTACCTTAAGGAAGCTTAGTGATAATGAGCCAAGTAATGGACTCTTAACTTGGAATTTCTAATAGCACTTTAACTATTCAAGTTAATGGACAAAATGAAACAGAAGATAATTATTATTAACTTGTGGACTAACTTATAAAATAAGCCTAATAAAATTCTCAATCATTTAATGACTAAATAGTTTCTTTGAGTATTATTGGAGAAGATTTAAGCAAAAACAAACAATTTTAGGCCTCTCAGAAAATCAATGATCTGAAAGCTTAACTCATATCGAATTTGTAGGAAAAATCATTTTAATTACCCTAATTTTCTCTTCTATCAACTTATGCAAATAAAGTAATTGCATAACTGCAGTAAACTCTCACAGATTCAAAAGAGAATTAGAAAGACTCAATTTACAACCAACTGCAAAAGATCATATAACATACATTATTAAGTATATAATATAACAACGCAAGTTCACTTTAATAAAATAATGATATTTATATGCAAAATCTGATTGATTCTTTTAAAATTTTAAATTCCACAGTCAATTAAGGTAGCTCAATGCTGGATTTTGAACATTATAACAATATATCTTTCCAGATAGGAAGTATACTTTCTAACAGCACACTCCCGAATCAAGGGTCACTCATATTAGATGGTAATCTATCTTCTTTACTGTCTGACACAATAACTCAAAAAAATATATATAGATATGCACTACCATTTAATGACTCAGATTCTTAAAATTCTACAAATTAATTCAACATAGTTAGAAACACATATGCATTAAATATTTATGAAAAAACAACTAAATTTCAAGAATATGTGAAGTAATATGAGAATATTAGCTCGAATTTTTAATATTCAAAAAACAAAGTAATAACTACTACAATAAACAGTACAAGTTCTTAAAATTTATTGAATGATTCTAGAGTTGCTTATTAATTTAATAATGCAGTTTCTAGCAAAAAATATAACATGACTTGTTTATAATAAAATGATGTCAAATGGTCTAAGAATGATTGCAGTATCTTAAAATAATAGTAAAATAACTTCAAGTGCTTGTGTTAATCATAATCTCCTACAACAATTATTGAAGACATAGATGACATGTTTTTAAAAAATAAAAATCTAGATACAGTATTAGGAGAATAAGGAATATTAAACATACTGAAATTTAAAGAGTTCTACTTATATGCATCCTTTTGGGTTCTCTCAACTTTTACTGCACTTGAAATTTTTTTGCTTATTTTAGGAAAATACTTAGATCGTAAAACAAGATAAAAAATTATCTCATAGGTTTTTCCAGATAAGTTAATTAGTCAATAGATTAAAGATTAAGAATTTTTAGATTAAGCTGACATATAAACTTTCCCGAAAATATAATTAGTGAATGAAGACTAGCAACCTAAGGTAGAGCCATTTACTCCACCTTAAATTAATAAGCAATATCCAAGTTTAATTCTATAGAATGGTCAGTCTTAAAAATCTCCAAAACAAATATAGTCTATTTAGCCAAGTGAAAGAAATTAAATGGTGCCTTATGCAAGACGTAAAAGGACTAAGTTTTTGCATTTATAAACATAAGAAAAATTCCCAGAGAGTAGTTCAAATAACTTATCTTAAAACCGAATATAGGATAATTAACTTTAAATTTTTAAATAACGAAGTATCTTTGATTAAGATGAAAATCCTTAACAGTCGATTTAAATAACTTCATAAAATGAAACAAAAGAAATTTAAGATTCCCATATAAAATAACAGTAATAAATTGCATTTGAAAAGGCTTCTTGCTTCAAAAAGATAGCAATTTTTCATTAATTCTTGAGTATTTTTTATCTTTATGATGAAATAATTTCAAGACCTACTCGATTCACTCTGTTTTATATAAAGAATATTCATACTTTATCAATTTCCTTACTATTTTCTTAATACAAGCATATTATTTAGTAAGTAATAATTGCTTTAATTAACAGCTTAGTTATAGGTTTAAGTACTTTTTTTATTTAATTCACATACAAAAAAGGTAAGTTTGGAAAAATAATATCTGTCATTTTTTAAATTGGACTCTGTTTGGTTTATCTTTATATAATATTGGCAATATCTAGTGGAAAATCTGTGAGTGAATCAAATGAATTCATGATGATTTTCATCTTATCAATGTCAGCAGATTTAATATTTATGTAAGTAATCACATCTTCTTTCATGAGTCTATTAGTCAAGAAACACTTTAAAAATATATTACAATATAGCTTTTATGGAAAATTATTTAATCTTTTTCAACTAAAATAAGTAATTGAAATGATAGATATTTGATTGTATTTTAAATTTAACTCTTCATTTAAACTTGTAATCTTAATTATTTTTTGATATCAGTTTAAAATTAACTTTTATTTCTATTTAAAATTTAAAAAATAATTTATACCATAAAATATACAAATAAAAAAATCAAATTTTGTAATACTAAATGTTTAAATTTGATATTTAAAAAAATTCGAACAAACTAAGTACATAAATTAGAGCAGATGATTTATAAAGAAAGAAAGTTAGTACATATAATTTATTAAACAAATATTACAAATTATTATTTAAATTTCAAAAAAATTACTTAATTTTAAAATTATCTGTGACAAAATATAAACGAATTAATAAATTATTAGGAAAAATTTCACTTTTGTTTTGCTTTAAATTATATTGTTTTTATATATTAAATTTCTGGTTAATCTTCATTTTCTTTCATCATTAACATAAGATTAGTAAATTGAGATTCTGATTTAATTATACTTTATTGTTTAGGTGAATTAATATTATCATTATTACACGAGTAAAAAGATGAAAGCTGATTTTACTGCATTTAACTTTTGTAAATTAAAGAGTTCTATTATGTCAAAGGTAAGATGTTATTTAAAATTTTACTTTTATTTTATTAAAAATCTTCATCTTCTAGATTTTCTAATTTACATAATGTTTAAGGAAAAGGTTCATTTGATTTTAATATTTCTACCTCAAATTATCTTATGATAAAATTTGTGTTATCATAAATTCTAATAATAAATGTTTCCACATCTTGTAATTTAGGGGTCCCATATAAAACTATCGCATTTGATTTTAGAGTAAATTTCATCCAAGATGGAAGTTGCTAGTTCACAGAAGATCCATAGTTCATCACATCCAAGTTAAAAAATCTTCTTAAAAGTGAGCATTAAAGATTCTCAACTTTTTTAAAAGCTTGAACTGAATGAATGTCAAAAAAATTCTAATGGATTGATTCTCCTAAGCTTGGTTTAAAAATAGAAGGTGTCGATTCAGCAATTCCATAACAATCAGCGATTAGTAAATTAAAAATTAGTCTATATGGAAATTTATTTTAACTTAAAACCAGGAGTTGGCTTTTTTCCAATTTAAAGAAGCTCAAGAGAAGCTCTCTCATTAATTTGATTTGATTTTTTATATTTTCAGTTTAAATTTAAATGTGAGGAAAGCTAAGAAGTTTTTAGTCGTTATCATTTTCTTCTGGAATAGTTTTTAAGTACTTGAAATACCAACCATTTTTTACATCTTAGCTAAATTATGATTCAATTATAGCAGATTGTTTAAGGAATTAATAAATTTAATCAAGTAAAGGATGGCTCTTTATTAAAGTTCTTGAGATAAGACCTTTGAGGCATTGGTATAGCCTTGAACTAGAATCAACTAGTTCAGGTATTACAGACTTTATAGAAATAACTTGATTTAAGTGTTTTATAGAAATATCCATTTCAGTCATAAGTTTAATAATGAGCTTCATTTATATTTAACCTTATTCATTTATAAAATTTTAAGCAATAAAATTTCTCTGTTCATCAACTTTAAAATTTTTATTATTTAAATCATTTTTTATATTTGATTGATTTTAATTATCTTCTTCATCCAATTTGCTTTCTAAATATTTCTAAAACAAAGTTTTGTTTTCTTTTACATCAGTGTTTTAAATTATTTTTTTGATATTTTTTAAAATTTTCATGATTTTTTATTCTTTTAAAAGTAAAGATTTTTAAACAGAATTATATTTGTTTTCTCCTTCTTTCTCTTAATGATTTTTTGAAAATATTGAGTTGATGGATTCTTCAATGAATAATTCTTCTCTAAATTCAAGATTAGTATTATTTTCTTAGATTTATGAAACTAGATTAATTTATTTCACATTTTTTGAAAAATTATTTTTTTCTTTATTAATTTAATTTTTTTAAGCGGCTAAAAAATCTTGTAACTACTCCTTATATTTACTTAAATTTATTTTTTTTATAAATTCTTTATAAAAAAGTATAGCTTTCATGTTTTCATCAGACATTATTGTTATTTTTTTGTAATATTATTGAAAGACCTCTACTTTTTCTCTTGAATATAAATTATTTTTATTCAGTGTAAAATTGAAGAAGTAACTACGATATTTATACAGCCCAAAAATAGTCAAAATTGGTCCGAATATTTTAATTAATGAACTTAAAACATATTGAAATGGAATATTATAAATATAGATATTAAAAGTATCTGATATTATTGTATAACCATCTGTAGCTTCTATTTTTATTGTAACTATAGATCTGTATTATCCTACAGGAACACTGCCAAAGAATCTTAGAGAATTGCTTGATTGTTAAATCCAAGCTCCAGAAACGGCATCACAATAATCATCACCGCATTTAAATTAAACAGAGTAATTAATTATATTTGTATCAGGATTAATAAATGTATCTGAGCTAAACTCAAAAGCTAGATTTTCAGTAATGCCAACTTAACCATTTTGATAAAGTTAATTAAATTGTTATTGTAAAGTCTTATTTTAATTTAATTTGATAGGTTACTTAAGAATTATGAATGATTAAGCTTAGCTTAATTAAAAAGAACTTTGAATATCATAATTGACCCCATCACTTATGATTGCTTGAAATTCTATCTAATCATCTGTCAATAAATTATCTTGTTTAAAAAATAAAATCCGCTTTTCAAAAACATGATTGATATTTATAATATCTCCTTCTAGTTTTAGTCTAGTTTAAAAATTAGATATTTAAGCAATAACACCATCATAAGAAATACTAACAAATTTGCCTTATCCCTTTGGCACTTCAATATAAATTTGAATATCATTTTAAATAGAAAATATAAAATATTTCTACATTTACTGATTTAAATTTTATTATGAGTATTCTGGAACTGCTTGAGGAGTTTTAAAGAATCTCAAAGAATTAACAACATTAAATAAAATAGGATTGTAACATACAGATTCTTTTAATATTCTTTTTACTTTGTCTAAAATAGCCTAATTTCCATTCATGGTGGAATCTTAAAATCTAAAATCTTAATTACTATCAAAATTACTTGTTACTAGTAAATTCTCTTAATTTAAAATACCCATTACACGAAGTTATTTATAAATTTGTAAACTCATTTCAGATGATATTTAGATTCCATCATCTATAAATACTTATTAGGAAAAAGAATTTTGTGTTATTGGAAACTTATGTTCTAATATAATAGTATTTAACTGAGGAACAGAGGCGTCGTTTCCAAGAGCATCTTTAACTGATCTAATATTTATACTATCTAGTTGAGAATTAAAGCTAATCCAATAAGGTAAATTTACTATTTGATAATTTTAATAAAAATATACATTCGTTAATTTTGCTCCGTTCTTAGGATAAATTTGATAAAATTAAAATTAAAAGGTCTATCCTATCAAAAGCGTTTAGTTATATTACTGTTTTAAGTAAGAAATTTAATTTGTTTGCTATCCCTAGACCAAAAATATCTCTGTATGCACTTAAATCTAATTGCTAATAGGAATAGTAGTAATACCTACTGTATTCGTTAACATTGCAATTTGTTCGTTTTAATTAACGCAACTAGACAACCCATTTTAATCCCCATTCATAAATTTAGAGATAATTTTTAGACTATTTAGGTCTCTAATATCAACCAATGTTAAAAAACCTACAATATTACTTGTAACTAATAAAAATTTATCTGAGTATAATGGTGTTATTTGCATTGTTGTTCCATCTAACTGAATTCTACTTATGAATTTTATTTCTGGCAAATAACTCAAATCGATTATACCGATGCCTTTAGGTCCTTCACAAGCAAATGCATATTTTAAATCTTGAGATTGTATGATACAAAATCCACCGTTTGTTTTTAGATATTTAGCTATTTATAACTCATATTTATTTCCTATTGAAAGAGCTAAAAATCCATCATTTCTTGATGCGCACAAAATAAACTTGTTGTCTTATGAAAAGATAAGCTCTACAACTTAGTTGCTTATTTGAAGACTAGAAAGGACTTATAAATTTAGAAGACCTTTTGAAGAATCAACTAAAAAAACAGTTGTGTATGCTGCTATTCCTATTAACTTTTTATTGTGGTTATATCTGATCCCTTCCATTACAATATTAGGATTATTTCCATTGAGAGAAAACACTGGTTACAATTTTTAACTAGAAGAAATTTAATTCATTTAATATACAAAAAGGAGGATGCCTTTATTATCTCCTGGTGTAATAATATATCCGCTCTCTTCATCTATAATAGCTGATTCTGTATAATAGATGTTTTGTGGTACTACCTATTATAAAAGTTGCATATTATTTGGATTACCTTTCAAATCAAAAATAAACAATCCATCTTTATCAAAACTTCCAATGAAGAATTTGTCATTCTGAGTTATGTAGCAGCGCCAACGATACATCGCTGTTCCTATTACAGTTTAATTTGCTTGAATTGTGTTAAAAAGATTAGGATATTCGTTGTTTAAATTTGGAGTAACTTTTTAATAGATTTACAATTAAATTCCATTTATATAGTACAAGAAACCTTCATCCTTTGATAATCTAATAGAGAAAGAGTAACCTGGTGATCTTATCCACTAAAATAGCTTAGGATATTTACTTTGATTTCTTTTGCTGATGTCAAAAATAAATATTCCTAATTATTAAGCACCAATTAAAATAAAGTTTTAATCATCTGTTAATCTTATTTCATTTAAAGTAGGAGATTGATTTAACGGCCACCAAGCCTTAACATCAAAGTCAAATTAAGAAACTACAGTGCCATCTTTTATAGAATCTAAGTTTATGAAATTAGCAATATATAAACCACTCCATGAATCTATAGCATAAATATACTAATCGTTAGTCAATACAATGTTTTAAAATCCATAATCTGCAGGAGTTGTAAATATTTTTTCAAGACTTAGCATATTATTCTATTAGAGCTAAAATCTTACAGCTATTAAATTTATGTTTGCTAAAAATAAATAGGAATTTTTAGCGTAAACAATATAAAAAGGGACCATTTATACATCAATCTATCCAATAATTTTCATTTAACTCCTAGAGAATATGTCATAAATAACTAAGATATTATTGGAAGTACCAGCTGCCCATTTATCATTATTAAATAAGAAAAGCGAAGTGATACTTTAGCCAAAATTAGAGTTGTCAGAGCAAATATAGTTTAAAGTATAACTTGGCTAAGTGTTTAACTAAAACATAGAAATTCTACCTTGATATTAGAAAAACAAATATTATCCATCACTAGTGACTGATAACAAATCAACTTCACCTTTATCCTTGACTTATAGTAGAACCTTAAAGGAAGTTTGATCAAGAATAGCAATACCATCTTAACCATTAGCTAAAAAGAGTAAACCTAATTTATCACAAACAACAAGCTACTGGATTGTGTTTTCTATAGATTAAATGCTACTAACATAGTAAGGTGAAGGTGAAAATATTTAATTTATTTGCTAGCTTAGATACAAATAAGGAAAAAGCAATAATATAAAGGTAATTTCTTTCATTTATATTATGATTTATCTTTTGATTAATTTTTTGTTTCTTCTTAAAGTTTTCTTTATGATTCTTAGAAAGGTACTATTATTGATAAATTAAAAATAAAAAACAACTTACATATGTAAAAATATTGTTTACAATTAGTATTTTTGATTAATTTGATTAAAATAAAATATCTTGAAATACAGTATGATTTTTATCAATTTTAGATTTTTTAAAAGGGCTTTTGGTGGTTGATTAAAACTTGAATTAAAAAAAACTATATGACGTTCTTGAAAAATAAAATTAGAAGAAAGATTTCATCTCAATATATTTTAATAGGACATTAACAATAAATATTATACTGTAATGATGAATGATATAAAAATTAAGATTGTAACATATAAGGTTAGAACTTAATTTAATTTTTCCTAATGCTAAAATACAGGAATGAATTAAACAAGTAAAGGAATAAGAGATAAATAGTATAAAATATGATGGCAATAAAAATAATATGCATTTTAACAAATAGAGCATAAAAATAATAGAAAAATTTAAGAATGCTTCTTATTATTATAAGCGATAAAATGAACTAATTAAATACCTACTTTTTAGTTCATAAGAAGAATAAATATATAGACTAGTGTTTGTATAAGTAATTAGAGCTTGGGTTAAGAAGTGGGAAAAAAAATGCTTTTTTCTGATTAAAGTTAAAAAACAGTCAAAAAGAAAAATTAAAAATTTCCTTTTTTTAAAAAATATCAAAGAATTAGTGTATTGATTACTTTAATTAATTTTATTAATTATTTAGATGATAAATATTTTAATAGTATTTTATTTGTTTAAAAAACACTAGAATTCCAAATTATTTAGCAAATCATAACCGACTACCTCATCAAACTTTAAATATTTTAAGCAGGAAATTATTTTAAATAAAGCGAAATTTAATGTAAAATAATTTACTTTTATATTAATTTGTATAAATGAATTGATACAATTGAAATATTATTTAATTTTGTAATGTTTCTTTTGTATTAAATAAAAGTGACAAACTATTTTATATAATTTTGTAGATTGATAGAGTGAGTACTATTTCATAAACAGTTTTCTGACTTAAAAGCGTCTAAAATTTTTTACATAAAAATTTAATGCAAAAATGAAAAATTAATTAAAAGAAGTTTTTATTTTTTCCATCCTGATTTTTTCATTTTTCACAAAGTATTTTTCAACTATTTATGCTTTTTTAAATAATTAATTTTTTATTTAATTAAAAATACATATCATTTGCATGATTCAAAGTCATTTTTTTTTATCTGTTAGGTTAAAAAAACTTTTGTAAAAAAAATGACTAAGACTATTAAAATAGAGTTTCTTTTATTTATTAAAAATTGATGTTGTTTAATTTAGCTTAATGATTTAATTCATCTAATATTATCTATCAAATATTTATTATAAAAATAATGCAATCTTTATAAAAAAATCTGAAATACTAATATTTGTGCATTTGAATGATCACTTACCATGCCAAGATAGGCTTTTTCCAAGATAGCTATATTTTAGACCACAGTATAGATTATAAAAGATTAATAGCAACTTAATTTTTTTATTTCTTATATAATTGATCTAGTTTAATCTAAATCTTAAGCTTTTAAGTATTCAACCAATCTCTATTTTAGTGAAAATCTTCTTGAGTATAACATCTCATATGATTTTACTTATCTGATAAAAATCTTTTCTTCATAATTTTGACTTTCTGTATTAATTAATATATAGGTATCCTTATCTCCACTATTTAATCATCCTTATTTTTCCAATTTTTATTCTTCTACATTTAATTTAGTTTTATCAATTTTCATGTAATTGTAAAGTTGAAAATATATTTTTTATGTTTCATTATAAATTTTAAGTTGAAAAATTATTTTAATTGATAAGTTTTATGCAGTTTTAAGACAATCAAGTCTAAAAAGTATTAGTTTTATTAGCGAAAAGCCAAAAAAACAGAAATTTTTTAACCATGACTATGAGACATAAAAACTAATATAAAAATAAACTAAAATATGGAATTAATAAAATTACTAACATCAAATAAAGATTCCCTCACCCAAAAATTAAAGCTATTATTGATATTTTATTTTAGTAAGAAAATAGATCGATTTCTTAATTAAAAATTTTGTATTGAATAATTATATATTACTAATCCTGAAATTTCATTTAATTTTAAGGATTATTTTAAGTAATTTTATTAATTTTTTTTAATAAATTTATTTTACCTTATTTTTTTTTAGTTTAAAATCTTAAACTTGTAATCTTAATTAAATATATATTTTTTATTCATTCATTTTGAATGAAAATTAATTTAAAAAATTTATCTAATTAAAAATAAATAGTAAAAGTCAATAAATATAATAGCTTAAAAGTCTAAAAAATACTTAAAAACAAAAATATTTTGTTTTTCTTATTAAAAAATATTAATAATGTTAATAAATTTATTTTAACAATAAAGTATATATAAAAAATCAAAACCAATAAAAAAACTTCTTATTTTAAAAATTATATAGATATTTAACTATTCATCTAATGCAGTTTTTTTTAATTTTTGTGTATCATTATTTTTTGAATATGCAATGAGCTAATAGCAATTGTTTATTTTTTGAATTTAAAAATATTTATTAGATTTTTGAATTTAAAGAAAAGTGCTTTTCAAATAAATAATTAAAAAGCTTCGGCCTTTTATTAAATGATAGATAGTTTGTTCTGTTACAAACAAATTAAATTAAGACTACCTAACATTCAATATATTTTTTTTAGATTTTTTATATTTGAATTCACCTAAATGTAATGAATTATATAAATTTTATTATAAATAGACTCATGTTTTTAAAATTTAATTATTTCCTTACATTTTATTCCATATTCTAATGAATTTATATCTTAATAAATGTTGGTTATTTAAGGTTTTAAAAATATTATTCATATTTATTTTTGAAAATAAAGATAAATTACTAAACATTTGAAATAATTATATAGTTTTAATGAATGCAATATCTATTTTTAAACCTAATAAAGGAGAGTTATTAAATAAATATAAAACCCAATAATTTAATTATGATATATAACTCTTTAAATATATTATAGATTAAACATATTTGAAATAATTAATTTCTCATGAAAATATTAAAAATTTACTGAGTAAATGTAGCTAAAAATATTTAGTATTAAATCGATTAGCTTATCTCTTAAATATATTAACAAAAATATTAACTAACAGTAAATATAAATGTAATATTACCAATGTTAATCAAAGCTAGAACAGAACTATTATAATTACTGTCTGTAATTTCAAAATTTAAATTAACACCTGCTGTTTTTAAGCATGAATGCATAAATAAGCAACAATTCCATTAAAAGAAATATCTTTATTATTTAGATCATAAAACAAAATCATTAAAATTAGTTAATTACTATCCATTAGTAAATAAGAAGTAAATTAAAAACAATAAATATCAGTAAAATAAAACACTCTAAAAAATGAATTTTATTTTTGTTAGGTGAGTATATTTTATTCATATTTCGAATAAAACAAAAAATTAATTAATTTTACTTCATTTCAATAAATTTATGCTTTATTTACTTATTTTTATTAAAAAATATCGAAATATGTTGATATTATTTAGATAGATGTTTTATTTAAATATTAAATATTTTAAAAGGTTAAAGATATTTTTTATTCTATAATACAATTTTTAAAAAGAAGTTCCAAATTAATGGATTTACTTGTCACTTACCTTAACTTTATCAAAATTAATATTTCACTTTTACAAAAAGTTAAGTAGGTCAAAACTTTCTTTTAATTATCAGAAATCATCATTATCAAAAATTATGTGGTTTTTTTGAATAAATAACTAGTTAAAAAAGTAAATTTTATAAAAAAAGGAAATAATTAAAATATGCAGTTTGTTTATCCTACCAATCAAATTGCATCTTAATTACTTAATTTAATGTATAAATGAATTTTCTCACAATTTCTTTTTAAATAACTAAAGTTACTGAAACTAAAATTATAATCTAAAATTAATTTTCTGCTTAAAGATAAAATCCCATTTTTCATACTTCTTCTTCTCATAAAGTGTAAACTTAGAAATAAAAATATTTTCAATTAAAGAAATATATTAAATGCAATAGTTTTAAGTTATGTTAGAACTGATCTTTAAACAGATTGCTCTTAACTTTTAGTCTCTAAGTCATTTTTTTCCAGCAGTAAAATTACATAAATTTAGATCTCATATTTAAAATAAATTTTTTTGATGCAGGAAGTGAATGCTTAATAAATTAAGGTGGTCCCAGCAATCTAACAAACAACGATGCAGAATTTGCAGGGTATTTAAAGTAACAATTGTATAGGCGCAAAATAAATTCAATGCAAATCAGATAATAAGATAGTGCTTTCAACTAACAATTGCAAATCAGATACTACTTTTGTGATAAAAAAAAGTTCGTAATAATTTTGCTAAAAATTAATTAAAACAATTAAATGAATCTCTCCTTTTTCTAAAATTTATGAAATAAGAATCCTAATTTTTTAATATTTTTTGTATTTTATTTATTATATATATAGTACCCTAAGGTACTGCCTTTTTCAAGGCTACATACACGAATACTAATAAGATTTGTAATTATAATGTTATAAATTTGTTTTAAAAAGCTAGTCTAAAAAATTAATCGCCAGGCCACACTTTTCCTCTTATATATTATGTGTTTTTTAAATAAATATTATTTTAATTAATTATAATAATACCACTCATTTGCAAGACTCAATATCATTTTTGTTATCTGTTAAGCTAAATAATTTTTAATAAATAATTGATTAGACTTTGTTTCATTTAATTATCAAAAATTGATGTCATAATTTAATTTATTTATGCTGTTTTATTGCAAACATTTTTTATTAAAAGAATGCATTTGTTTTAAAAAATCAGAGGTGTTTTTTATTGGTCTATTTTTAAAATATCTATAAATTAAAAAATGATTTATTATTAATTTTATTTAGTTTTTCACTCATTTATTTCAATTATATCTAAATTTTTGACGTCTTCTTTAGGTTTTTATTCAAGTCTTTCAGATTTAATCCCTTAAAATGGAGTTGATATTGATGCTTTTCTTATATTTTGTCTTCTTCCTTTTCATTTTGTTCTCTTGAGATTTAAAAGATTGTAATCTTTGTTATTATGATAAAATTATTCTTAATTGATAGCGATTAAATCTAAATCCGCTCTCTTCTTGTTTTGCATTTTTCTTCTATGTCATATACTATTCTTGTACTACAATTGTTTGCTTATCTGTTTTTCTTTATTTTCTAAAATTAATATTACTTTTGAATTAAATTATTCTACAAAATAATTTTGTGATAGTAAAAAGTAACTCATCTATTCTCTTCACTTGTCATGTTTCTATTGACTTTTTATAAGATAGGTATATTTTAGACCATATTCTAAATTATTAAAGATTCATAGGAACTTAATTGTTTTATATATTATATAATTAATCTAGCTTAACCTAAATCTTCTGTTTTTTAAGTTTTTCAGCTAATCTTTATTTTAGTTAAAAACTTCTTGAATATTTCTTCTCATATGATTTTACTGATCTGGAAAAAAGCATTTTATTTATGCACAGAACCCTAGGGTACTACCTTTTCAAGGCTACATACAAGAATAATAACAAGTTTCAATTATTTATTAAAAGAGCAGCAAAAGCATTTAGTTTAAAGTTGATTATTTTAGCTCTTAAATATATTAATAAAAATATAAAATTAAATCAAATTTAGATATAATATTACCAATATTAATGAAAGAAGAACTTTTATATTTACTGTCTATATTTTTAAAATTGCAAATTACGCTTGCGGTTATTAAACACAAAAGAGAGAGTAGCAACTCCATAAATTGAAATATCTTTATTATTAAGATCATTTAATACAACCCTTAAAATTAGGTAATTAATTATTACCCACTAGTTAGAGGAAAAAAAAATAACACTAAAAAAATTAATTATATTTTAGTTAGGTGGGGAGGTTTATTCATATTCTATAACAATTTATATCTAAATTAATTGAATTTAATTTCAATAAACTTATGCTTAGCCAAATGATTTATTTACATATTTATTATTTAAAAAAAATACACAAAATAGCCATAAAAAAACATAGGAATATTTTGATATGAAATATATTTTTTATAAACTATAAAAAAACTTTAATAGGCTAAAGAAATATTTTATTTCTATTATAACATTTTTAAAAAGTAGCTTGAAATTGATGGGTTTACTTGTGATTTATTTACCTTAAAATAACCAAAACTAATATTTTACTCCAATAAAATACTAATAAAAAAAGTAGATTAGTCAAAACTTTCTTTTTGTTTCAGAAATTATCTTAATACTAAATATTGTGGTTTTTTTTGAATAAATCACTAGTTAAAAAAAGTAAATATAAAAACAGAAAGAAAATAATTAAATAGGCTGTTTTTGTTTTCAGCAATCAAATTACACGAAATTATTTAATTTTATGAATAAATGCCTTTTTCCACTCCAGTTTAAAGTACTAATCAATTTTAATAATAAATAATATCCAAATATATCAAAACAGTAAGGATTGACTCATCCTTAATTAGAAATTAATTCCTCCCAATTCACTAAAATTAATAAAAAATAACAAATAAAAAAATTTACTAAATTATAAAATCTCGAATAAAGAATATGCTTAAAGATAAAGTACCATTTTTCATACTTTTTCTTCTCATCTTGAAATGTAAACTTAAAAATAAAATTTTTTTTAATTTAAGAATTATATAAATGAAAATAGCATTAAGTTATGTTAGAACCAATACTTAAACAGATTGCTAATAACTTTTAGCCTAATAGTCATTTGTTTCCAGCAGTAAAATTCAAAAATCTTAGCGCTCCTTTTTATAATATACATTTTTTTAATTCAGGAAGTGAATGCTTAATAAATTAAGGTAGTCCCAACAATCTAAATAACAATGATTAAGAATTCGCCAATAATTTGAAAGGTCTTTAAAATAACAATTGTATAGGCGCAAAATAAATTATATGTAAATCTAAAACGGAATATGTACTTTCAACAGACAATTGCAAATCAGATACTATTTTTGTGATACAAAAGAGTTCGTAATTATATTTTTAAAAATTAATTACAATAGTAATATGAATCTCTCATTCATTTTTCTAAATTTTCTGAAATAGGAATTTTATTTTTTTAAAATAAATCTTATAATATTATTTATTTTAAAATTAAAAGGAGCAAATTAATACAAAAGATCTATCTATAAATTAATTTTTTGATAGAATCTAAAGAAATTGTAGCAGCCACAAGTACTTATACAGTTAATTCTTAATCATTCCCTCCTAGTGGCTAATTTTTATAATGGTGTGATAATGCTTCTTAATTTTACTATCATCTTACAGAAATAAAAGCAGATATAAACTCAAATAATCTGAACATTTAGTTTAAAGCGTATGAAGGCTCGAAAAGCTATAATACTATTGTTTATGGTTTTGTTCTTGCAATAGCATATGTAATAATTTCATTTAAATAAAAAGAAAAATATTTAATAAGTCATCAGTATTTAATCTCCTTATTTAACATTATTTTCATCAAATCAAAACATTAATTAATTTTTTCTTCTATATAATTTAAATATGTTAGTTCTAAATAGGCTTAAAAAAAGAATAAATGAACATAAAATATTTTTTTATTTTGAAATTTTCACACAAAACTCAGAAAAAAGATAAATTTACAATTAATAACAATTTATCATTAATAATTAAAATTAAAATAAATTTTTTTATTAATTTTAAATTTTATATAAATTTAAAAAAAATATATTTAATATTTTCTAATTGATAAATTGTTTTATAATTTTCATTACAAAGAAGTTTTTAAATTATTTTAATTTTATTTCATTATATTTTTAGTGCCCTGACTTTTGTGATTAATGTGATAATAGTGGATGTACAAAATGCTCATCTGGCTATAATTTATCTAATGGTATTTGTAATGGTTGCGATGATACTTGTTTAACTTGCTCAGGACCTGGAAAAAATTAATGTATTACATGCAAAAATAATTATTATATATCTGATAAAAATAATTATTGTGTTTCATCCTGTGATTCGAATTAATATATTGATTCAACTTCTCCACAAAAATATTGCAGGTCTTGCATGAGTAATTGTTAGGCTTGCACCTACTCAAATAACTGTTAAGCATGCTATATAAGCTACTACTATACTGGTAGTTAATGTGCTCCTTGTGATAATACTTGCTATAGCTGCTCAGGTCCTGGAAAAAATTAATGCACTAAGTGCTAAAATAATTATTATATTTCTGAGAAATTAAATAATTATTGTGACCCAAATTGCGACATAAATTAAGCATAATTTATAGATTCTTCAAACCCTAATCAAAAATACTGTAGAAAGTGTATTACTAATTGTAAGAATTGTATTAATAATACTAGCTGTACGACATGCATTGATAGTTATTATCCTTCTGGTAGTTCATGTGCTCCTTGTGATAATACTTGCTATAGCTGCTCAGGTCCTGGAAAAAATTAATGCACTAAGTGCTAAAATAATTATTATATTTCTGAGAAATTAAATAATTATTGTGACCCAAATTGTGACTTAACTTAAGGTTAATTTATAGATTCCTCAAACCCTAATCAAAAATACTGTAGGAAGTGTATTAATAATTGTAACAATTGTACTAATAATACTAGCTGTACTAAATGCATAGATAGTTATTATATTTCTGGTAATACTTGTGCTCCTTGTGATAATACTTGCTATAGCTGTACAGGTCCTGGAAAAAATTAATGCACTAAATGCTAAAATAATTATTATATTTCTGAGAAATTAAATAATTATTGTGACCCAAATTGTGACTTAAATTAAGGTTAATTTGTAGATTAGTCAAACCCTGATCAGAAATACTGTAAAAAGTGTATTAGTAATTGTAAGAATTGTAATAATAATACTAGCTGTACTAAATGCATTGATAATTATTATCTTTCTGGTAATACTTGTGCTCCTTGTGATAATACTTGCTATAGCTGTACAGGTCCTGGAAAAAATTAATGCACTAAATGCTAAAATAATTATTATATTTCTGAGAAATTAAATAATTATTGTGAACCAAATTGCGACTTAGATTAAGGCTAATTTGTAGATTAGTCAAACCCTGATTAGAAATACTGTAAAAAGTGTATTACTAATTGTAAGAATTGCATTAATAATACTAGCTGCACGACATGCATAGATAATTATTATGTTTCTGGTAATACGTGCTCTCCTTGTGACAATTCTTGTAAGTAATGTTCAGGGCCTGGGGTTAATTAATGCATTATCTGTAGATAATCTGCATATCTTATTTAACCTGATAATAACAATACATGTGTTCAATCTTGTGATCAAGACAATGGTTATTATATTGATAAATTAACTAATCCTTTACAGTGGTACTGTAGAAAGTGCCTCTCATCATGCAAAACTTGCTTAAATGGAAATAGTTGCAGCACATGTTTTGATTAAAACTTTTTAAATTCTTCGAACTAATGTCAGCCATGTGACTCAACATGCCAAACTTGTAACGGTCCATAAAATACAAATTGTATGATTTGTAAATCTGGTTTACATATGTAACTCAGCACAAGTTTATGCGTCCAATCATGTGATTCGAATGAGTTTTTGAATGCATTATCGCAATGCTAAAAATGTGATAACTCTTGTAAAACTTGTGATGGCTCCTCATCCAGTAATTGCAAAAGCTGCTATTCAAATTATTACCTTTATAATAAAAGCTGTGTTCCTGTATGTCCAAATGGTTACTCGCTAAATACTAACACTCTTGCTTGTGAACCTTGCTAAGATAAATTAAGTTGTAATAATTGCTATAACACTTGTTAATTATGTACGTTAGGATAAATTTAGTCTCAAAAATGTAATACATGTTATAGTGAAACAAGAAGATTAGATTCAAATAATAATTGCGTTTGCTTAAATCCTAAAGACTAAAGAAATTTATTTTACTAATGCAGTTATTAAAACATAGCTGTCTTATATGCCAGTTTAAGTGAAAGCACTCCTAAATTAATAATTGATTTTGGCTCGCCATTAAAGTAAATAGTAAGTTCACCAAATTAATTATGCAAATAGGTATTTGAAGATTAAACATTTGCTTTGCTAGGATCTGATTGTACATGTTAAATTACTGATAACTAAATTATTGTGTCTTTGAGTAATTATATAATTTTCAAAATAAATTTTTAATGTATTTATTTAATTTAAAATATCTAGCTAACTCTTCTAGTATTATGGAGAATAATCTTCTTAATTTTAAATCTGACATTTTGCAGTTTTAAGATTATAATGTTTTTATAGACACGTTTTATAGAAATATAGTTTTCTAAAATAAGACTGATAATCCTATATTATAATTTCAAAATAATTTCATAGAAAACACATGCAATCCCGTAATTATCTCTCTAAGTGAATTAAAGAATGATGCGGGTAGAGGTTTTTTTAATATAACATGGTCAATTGAGGAAATAACTGGTATTACAAGAGAAGATTAGATCTAAAGCCTTAATCAAATAATGAAAACAGCAAGCTCTAATTTGAATAGAACATTAATCATAGAACCCTCAAACTTACCTCCTAATTAAAATATAACTATAAAATTTAGCTTTTTACTAAAAGTGAACAAAACTGGTTAACAAACTTTTAAAATATTTTACAGAAAAGAAAAAATCATCAGGATACATTATCAACAATCGATTTATCCACCAATCTATAGGTATTGTATTTATATTTGATAGAATTCTAAGGTTATTTTTAAAAATTAGGTATAAGAGCTTAAGTTTCTACTTTTAGTTTTATATTGAAGCATGTGAGTTTGGAAATAATACATATTTTAATGAACCAACTGATCTTAAAATAGTATCTCCTTAGCTAACTTAAATAGAGCAAAATATTAAAAACTATAATTAATCTAGTTTTTAATTAGACATACCTCCTTACTCATTACCATCAAATTAAACTTTTAATATGAGCGTAATCAATTTTATATTTTAAAATAAATTAAAAAGAGTTTTGTTTCTAAATTCAATAGATTTTAGAATTTTGATCATAATTCCAATCGGGATTTTTATTGATCTTTTTCTAATATAATTTTAATACGTAGATTCTTCTTAATTAAATTCAAATTTTTTTGGAAAATAATTTAATTCAACTAACAAAATTAATGATAAATTTTAAAAAAATGTAGATGATAATTAAAAAATAAATTAATTTACTTAATGTTATATGATAAAACAAAAATAACAACTTTCTCTAAATATTTCTTCTGTGATAAATTGTAATAGCAATTTGCAATACTAAAAAATAATCATCTCTATTTATAAGCAATGATTGAAATTATATTCAGAAATAAACATAATTAAATTAAAGAGTATGTAGAGATAAAAAATATAATTCCTCCTTATATTTTGATAAATTAGATGAAAAATAGTATGACATCAAATTTTGATTAAATTATAGCAAACATTTAAAAATTCTTTTATTTAAATTCATAACAATCAATTTTTAGCAAAATATATTTTAAATTCCAGATCTTTTTTCAAATAAATTTAATATAAAATTTTGGTTTTCAAACAATAATTATGATTGCTTTTAAAGTTTTTAATATTTGATCAAAATGATTAAAATTAAATATTCAAAAAATTCTTAAAAAATGAAAAATTAATTTACTTTTTAATAAAAATTTAGATGATTTTAAACCTTACCTCGGATAATAGAATAAGTTCTATTAAAAATATATCAATTGATGTACTCATTTCGAATTTGTAGTTGTCTATAGCTGGAGGATCTAATTTTATAGTTAGTTATCAAAAATAATTTGATTTGGTATCAGAATTTAGAGATTATGAAATTCAAGATCAAACTTCTCTAATTGGTGTTACTTTTAATTGGTAGTGCAAGAGTTTATCAAGTGATGATCACATTTGTTATGATTATAATCATCAAAAAGTTTAACTAAAACAAGGGATAAGTTCAATCTCTTTCCCTGAAAGAAATTTCCAGCCATATAGCATCATTGTGCTAACTATAGATGGATAAAAAGAAAAAAGGTCAGCTAGTTTTTCAGCCACTTGTATTTTTACAGAAGTAGATATTCCTCCATTAACTGTTTTATCTCCTTCTCAACAGTAAAATCAGAAAATAAATCTAAATTAAGAGCTTGACTTCATTATTAAATACGACTCAAATGTTTCTTCAGATATATTATCTTATGCTGGGGCTTTGTTGTATAAAAATAAAATAGTTGGAGCCATAAAATTTGATTACTTCTAAGTAAAATTTAGAATATGGAACTACTTTTAAAATATCGATCCTTCTGTCACAACGGTTTAAGTACGTTTTTCTGTTTACAATCCATCTTATGTCATGCCAAGTTTAGCAACAATTAGCCTTTTAATTAACACACCTCCTAAAAATTGCATTCTTTCAATAACTCCAAACCAAGGAGTAGCTCTCAAAACAATTTTTTCTATTTAGTTCTCAAATTGTGTGGATGAAGACTCTCCATTAACTTACTAATTCTTTTACTATAATAACCAAGTAGATTATGAACAAGAACTAGATTCACCTTGGAATATTTCAAGAAGATTAATAAAAGATTAAACAACTAGCTATGTGATGAATACTACTCTACCTTAAGGAAACTTAGTTATAATGAGCCAAGTGATGGATTCTTAACTAGGTGTTACTAATAGCACTTTAACTGTTCAAGTAAGTGAATAAAATGAAACAGAAGATAATTATTATTAACTAGTGGACTAACTTATAAAATAAGCTCAGTAAAATTCTTAATCATATAATGATTAAGTAGTTTCTTTGAGTATTATTGGAGAAGATTTAAGCAAAAGTAAACAATTTTAGACATCCTAAAAAATCAATGATATGAAAGCTTAACTCATATCGAATTTGTAGGAAAAATCATTTTAATTACCCTAATTTTCTCTTCTATCAACTTATGCAAATAAAGTAATTGCATAATTGCAATAAACTCTCACAGATTCAAAAGAGAATTAGAAAAGCTCAATTTATAACCAATTACTCAAAATTATAAAAAACACATAGTCAAGCATATAAAATAACAATTCAAGCTCACTTTAGCAAAATAATGATTATCAAATTCAAAATCTGATTGATTCTTTTAAAATTTTAAATTCTACAGTCAATTAACGTAGCTCAATGATAGATTTTGAACATTATAATAACATATCGTTCCAGATAGGAAATATACTTTCTAACAGCACACTTCCTAATCAAGGGTCACTCATATTAGAAGGTAATTTATCTTCTATACTGTCTGACACAATAACTCAAAAAAATATATATAGATATGCACTACCATTTAATGACTCGGATTCTTAAAATTCTACAAACTAATTTAACATAGTTAGAAACACATATTCAATAAATATTTATGAAAACACACCTAACTTTCAAGAATATGTCAAGTAATATGAGAATATTAGTTAGAATTTTTAGTATTCAAAAAATAAAGTAATAGCTACTACAATAAACAGTACAGGTTCTAAAAGTTTAATAAATAATTCGAGAGTGGCATTTTAATTTAATAATGCAATTTCTAGTACAAAATATAACATGACTTGTTTATAATAAAAGGATGTCAAATGGTCTAAGAAAGATTGTAGTATCTTAAAATCAGATGATAATAACTTCTTATGCTTGTGTAAATCATAGTCTCCTACAACTATTATTGAAGATATAGATGACATGTTTTTATAGAATAAAAACTTAGATACAGTACTGGGAGAATAAGGTATATTAAATATACTGAAATTTAAATAGTTCTACTTGTATGCATCCTTTTGGGTTCTCTCAACTTTTACTGCACTTGAAATTTTTTTGCTGATTTTAGGAAGATACTTAGATCGAAAAACAAGAAATAGAATGGTTTCATATGTTTTTCCAGAAATAGAAATTAATAAATAAAATGATTAGGAATTGTAAGAATAAGCTCACATATAATCTTTCCCGAAAATATAATTAGAAAAAGAAGACTAGAAACCTAAGGTATCACCACCTACTCCTCCTTAAACTAATTAGCGTATTCCAAATTTAATTTTATAGAAAAATGAGTCTTCAAAATCTTCTTAAGAAGTATAGTCTACTTAATAAAGCTAAATAACTTAATAAGTGCCTTATGCTAGACGTAAAAGGTAAAAGTTTTAGATTTTTTAAGCTTAAGAAAAATTACAACTGAATAGTATAAATACCTTATCTTAAAACAGAGAAGAGGGTAATTAACTTTAAGTTTATAAATAGCCCAGTACACTTGATTCAGAAGAAAATCGTTTACGATCTATTTAAATAACATCATAAAATATAATAAATGGAATTTAAGTTTCCCATTTAAAAGAAAAGTAATAAATGGCTTTTGAAAAGGCTTCTTTCTTCAAAAGAATGGCAATTTTTCATTAATTTTTGGGAATATTTTTTCTTTATGATGAAAAAATTTCAAGACCTACTCGATTCACTCTGTTTTATATCAAGAATATTCATACTTTATCAATTTCGTTGCTGTTCTCCTAATATAAACATATTATTTAGCTAGTCATAATTGCCTTAATTAACAGTATAGTTTTAAGTTTAAGTACTTTTTTCATTTAATTCACATACAAAAGAGGCATGTTTGGAAAATTGATATCTGTCATTTTTTAAATTGGGCTATGTTTGATCTATCTCTACATAATATTGGCAATAACTAGTGGAAAATCTGTAAGTGAGTCAAATGAATTCATGATGATTTTCATCTTATCAATGTTAGCTGATTTGGTATTTACTTAGTTAATGATATCTTATTTCATAAGTATCTTAGTCAGAAAACATTTTGAAAATAAATCAGAAAATAAATTTTTTGAAAAATTATTTCATTTTCTTCAACTAAAATAAGTTATTGAAATGATAGATGTTTGATCAAATTTTAAATCCAATGTTAAAATTTAACTTTTCATTCAAACTCGTATAATTTTTTTATATTTGGCATTATCTTTTAAATTACTTTAATTACTATTTTAAATATAAAATATTTAAAATAATTTATGTCATAAATTAAATATATTAATTTTTTTAATTCAAAAATTTTTTAATTTGACAGGGATTGCATTAATATTGCAAGTTTGGACAATATAATATTGCATATATTTCTTCCTTCCTTCATTTACTTCATTTTAATTTCTATAAAAATCTAAAGATTTATTTAAATTTACATTTTATTTGTACAAGTTCTTTCTTTATATTATTTATAAATATATGATATCAAAAATATCTGAAATGAAATATCATCTAAATTTTAATATATAAGTACCATAAATCAAAAAAGTATTTATTATAAAAAACTTTAAATTTTTAAACTTGTTTTTGAAAACTTTTGCATTTATTTCTTCCTTCCTTCCTTAATTTATTTCATTTTCATTTCTATAAAAATCTAAAGATTTATTTTAAATTTTATCTATATAGTCGTTTTTGTAATTGCTAAACATTTTATTTGTAAAAGTTTTTTCTTTATATTATATATTAATTTATGATATCAAAAATATCAGACACAAAATATCATCTAAATTTTAATATATAGACACAATAAATCAAATTTAAAAACATACACTAAACCATAAGAGTAAAATTTAATAAAATAGATTTAATTAATTTCTAATAGAGTAATCAGATACAACAATAAATAAATATTAAAAATATTATCATTAAAAATAAATATAAAACATATATTGATATAATACCGTTTATAATTTAATATACTAGTTATTTTTTGAATAAAAATTAAAAAGCTGCATTCTTCTGTTTAGAGACAGTATATTGGTATGGTATATAAAAACAAACAAAAATTAAGACTACCTAGTTTTCAATATTAATAATATTATATTAGCTGTTTATAAATGAATAAAATAAGATACAATGAATGATATAAATTTTATTTTAAAATGACTTTTTTAAAATAATTTAATTACTTCATTCTATTTTATATGAAATTTGAATAAATTAATAACTTAATATATTTGGTTATTTAAGGTTTTACAAATATTAAACTTATTTTTTTAGAAAATAAAAATAAACTAATTATACATTTGAAATAAATAAATAATTTTATGGAAGGAAATATCCATTTTTAAACATAATAGGCCAAAGCTATATTAAAAAAAAACTTAATATTATAGCTATTGAATATACCAATTTCAATATATCATATATTAAACATATATTAATAGTTAATTTTTCATGCTGAGCAAATTTAAAATTTAAATTTAACTTGTAAATGAAGCTAAAAATATTTAGTATTAAGTTCATTGGTTTAAAGCTCTCAAACGTATTAATAAAAAATATAAATTAACAGTGGTCAATTTCAATTAATTAAAGCTAGAATTGTTACGATTACTGTTTATAATTTAAAAAGCGTAAATAACGTCAGTAGTTATTAAACATAAATGAGAGAGCAGCAACTCCATAAATTAAAAAATCTTGATTTTTGAGATTTTAAGATTGGATCATAAAAATGAAGTAATTACAATCATAAGTAAATATGAAGTATATTTAAAATAATAAAATGAGCAACAAAAATACACTTAAAAACTAATTTAATTTTTGTTTGGTGAGCATACTTTTTTCATATCTCATGTAAATATACAAATTTATATTTTTATCTAAAAATTAATTTAACTCCATATTGATAAAGTTATGTTTAGCAAAATGCTTTTTTGCTTATTAAATATTAAAAATTATACACAAAATAACCATAAAAAACTATAGAAATATTTTAATATTATATAGAAAAAAAATAAAAATATAATAAATTTAAAAGGTTAAAAATATTTTTTATTTATATAATAAAATTTTAAAAAAGTAACCCAAAATTGATAGATTTACTTTTCACTTACCTTAAATTATAAAAATTAATACTATAATCTAATAAAATACCATTAAAAAAATTAAGCAGGACCTTAACATTATTTTTATTTTACAGGAATCATAATAATATCAAAAATATTTTGGTTTTTATTAAATAAATTACTAGTTAAAAACAGTAAATTAAATCATAGAAAGAAAATAATTAAATTGTGTAGACAGTTTTTTCTACCAATCAAATTGCACCTCAATTACTTAATTTTATGAGTAAATAAATTTTTATCACAATTTCTATTTAAATAGATAATGTTAGTGAAAAGCTAAAATTGATAAAAACAATAAATAAAAACTTTACTAAATTATATAATCACAAATTAAGAATATGGTAAAAGAAAAAATCACATTTTTCATTCTTTTTCTTCTCATAAAATGTAAACCTTAAAATTAAAATATTTTCAATTTAAGAAATATATTACATAAAAATAGTAATAAGCTATGTTAGAACTAATACTTAAACAGATTGCTCTTAGCTTTTAGCCTCTAAGTCATTTATCTCTAGCAGTAAAATTAAATAAGTTTAGATCTCCTATTTAAAATAAATTTTTTTAATGCAGGAAGTGAATGCTTAATAAATTAAGGTAGTCCTAACAGTCTAACAAACAATCCAGAATTTACCCAGAATTTGTAGGGCCTTTAAAATAATAATTGTATAGGCGCAAAATAAATTCAATGCAACTCAAATAGTGAAATAGTACTTTCAACTGACAATTGCAAATCTGATACTACTTTTGTGATACAAAAGGGTTCGTAATAAGATTGTTAAAAATTAATTAAAACAATAAAATGAAATTTAGCTTTTAAAAATATTGAGAGATTTTCACAATATTCGTTGAAAAAATGGCCTTTTTTATCAAATACTCTTTTTTTCTAATTTTTTAGAAATAAAAATCCTACTTTTATAAAAATTTTATGATTTTATTTATTTTAAAATCAAAAGGAGCCGAATAATATAAAAGATCTTTCTATAAGTTAATTTTTTGATAGAATCTAGTAAAGTTGTAGATGCCACGAGTACTTATTCAGTCAACTCTTAATAATTCTTTATTAGTGGTTAATTTCAATAATGGTGTAGTAATACTTCTAAACTTTATTACCGTATTACAGAAATAAGTGCAGATATAAACTAAGATTCTCTTAACATAGCATTCTAACCTTACAATAGTGCCAGCTATAGTACTGTCGTTTATGGCTTTATTCTTGCAATATAATATGTAATAATAATCTTTAAAAAAAACAATTAAAATATTTAATTTAATGTTTTCAATTAATTGATTGGCATGTAAAAAAATTAAATCATCATTATTATTTAATTTATAAAATTTTCATTGATATTTATTTAATGATGATTTTTTTATTGAAAAACTTTATCTTTTTAAATTAATTTTAGATTTAAAAACTTAACCAATCAAAATATAATTTTGCAATTAAAACACGAAATTAATTTATTTCATGTTTAATTAAATACCATATATTCTCTTTTATTAAGTCCTTTTAAAAAAATAAATATATTACTGCGTTAAAGCCACATTTTTAAAAAAAAAATAATAGTCTTATTTCAAGAACATTTTATCAAATTGTACTAACTTATAGTATATATAGTCTTTTTATTATAATTTACTTAATTTTAAATTAAAATCTTTTTCATTTTTAATAGTAATTTTCATTTAAATTTTTTAAAGCAAATATATTATTTACTTTAAGAGTAAATTTTTTTTATTTAAACATATAAAAAAAATTTAATCTACTATCCTTAGATTTTATCTAAAATATTTCATAAAATAGTCATTCCCTTCCCCAGCCTTATCTATGAAATAAATTTAGATTAACAAATCCATTAAAATAAATTTATTTAAATCAATGTTTGTGATTTATGTAATAATAAATTTTTATATTTTACATTAAAAATTTAAATATTTTTAGAGAATAAATTATAATTTTAAAAACAAATAAGTTTTTTTGATTATTTTAATTTTATTTTATTATATTTTAAAGTGTCCTGATTTTTGTGATTCATGCAATAATAGCGGATGTACAAAATGCTCATCAGGATATCTTTTATCAAATGGTATTTGTAATGCCTGTGATGCTACTTGTTCAACTTGCTCAGGAACTGGAAAAAATTAATGTATTACATGTAAAAATAATTATTATATATCTGATAAAAATAATTATTGTGTTTCATCCTGTGATTCGAATTAATATATTGATTCAACTTCTCCACAAAAATATTGTAGGTCTTGCATAAGTAATTGCTAGACTTGCACCAACTCAAATAGCTGTCAAACATGCTTAACTAGCTACTATTATACTGGCAATTCATGTGCCCCTTGTGATAACACTTGCTATAGCTGCTCAGGTTCTGGAAAAAATTAATGCATTAAATGCTAAAATAATTATTATATTTCTGAGAAATTAAATAATTATTGCGACCCAAATTGTGACTTAGCTTAAGGCTAATTTATAGATTAGTCTAACCCTAACCAAAAATACTGTAAAAATTGTATTAGTAATTGTAAGAGTTGTATTAATAATACTAGCTGTACGACATGTATAGATAATTATTATGTTTCTGGTAATACTTGCTCTCCTTGTGACAATTCTTGTAAGTAGTGTTTAGGGCCTGGGGTTAATTAATGTACTATCTGTAGATAATCTGGATATTTTATTTAACCTGATAATAACAATACATGTGTTCAATCTTGTGATCAAAATAATGGCTATTATATTGAT